TGAGACCCCCAAAGGTGTTTTCGGGCACAACCTGGGTTTGCGCCTATTCCAGATTCTCAATATGGCATGTCTAACATAATGATTTTTAAAATACACATTAACCTTGACTTTGTTGTACCACAAATATCCATGCCACCCAAATCTCAGGTCATGTCCTTCCAACTCCAAGAACCTTCTATTTCTCAGCAGCACCCACTCTTTCATACAAACCAAACAGCAAGCTACAAAATACAATTTCAAATCAGGTAGACCCAATCCTCCTCTTTCCTTTACATCCTGTAACACCTTATATTTAACTTGTGGTTTTTTCCCCTGCCAAACAAATTTCAATATATCCTTCTGCCACTGTTGCAATGGTGCATCAGTTGTCAAAACAGGTATTGTTTGAAACAAAAACATCATTCTAGGCAAGACATTCATTTTTATCACAGAAATTCTCCCCAGCAACGACAATTGTAGTTTCTCCCATCTTACATGTCTTTTTTAACTTCATTCCATGTCTGAACATAGTTACTTTGAAATAACATACAGTTCATATTTGTTATAGTGATACCCAGAAGATTCTTCTCAATCTTAAAACCCATTTTATTCATCAATTCTATTTGATCTTCTATTTTCATATTTTTTGTTAACATCTTGGTCTTCTGTTTATTAATCTTGAAACTTGCTAATGCACCAAATTCTTTTAATATGCCCATTAATGTTTCAATTCCCTTTAAAGGATCTTCCAAAACCAATACCAAGTCATCTGCAAAAGCCCTTAACTTACAAGTTTCTTTTTTAATCTTTACTCCTACAATTCTCTCATCCTGTCTTATATCTCTATTCAGTGTTTCACGAACCAAAATAAAGAAGAAAGGAGACTGGGCATCCCTGTCTTGTTCCTTTTTGTACCTCACATGATTTTGTTAGATTCCATTAACAATTATTTGTGCTTTCTGTGAAGTATAAATCGATCTTACTCATTTTATAAAGTTCTCCCCAAAATTCATATCTTCCAAAACCTTGAACAAGAAAGGCCAGTTCAAATTGGCAAAGGCCTTCTCTGCATCTAAGAAAATCAATGCAGCTTGTTGTTCATTATATTGCTGCAAATATTCCAAAATGTCCAACACATATCTAACATTGTCCTTTAACTGTCTTTTAGGTAAAAACACACCTTGATCCTCATGAATAAATTCTTGCAAAGTTATTTTCAGTCTATCAGCTAGAATCATAAACAACTTGTCATTATTCAATAATGATATCAGCCTATAGTTTCTTTTTAGAGGCAGATCTTCTCTCTTTAGGTATTAGTGCTATATTGACCTCTTTCCAACTCTCTGGTATCTTTCCTCCCTGTAAGATACAATTCATTGTGTTTTGTAAAAGTTCTAAAAGTTCATCCTCAAAACATTTATAATAACCTGATAATCCATCTGGTCCAGGCACCTTTCCTGGTTTGATCTTTTTTATAGCTTCAGAAATTCCCCTTATTGTTATAGGCCCATTCTGTCTCTGTTCCTCTGTAATCCTTAGTAAATTTTGTTTCTTCAGGCATTGATCTATTTTCTCCAGAGAGATGTCACTTGCTTTATACTTTATAAAGTATATATAAATTATTATATATTTATTTATGCTTTATAAATGCTTTTTGCATGGCCGCATTATCCATTAATACAGTATCTCTGTCTTTTAATTTCAATATAATTTTCTTTTCTTTTCATAATTTATATGCCAACCACTTCCCTGGTTTGTTTGCAAATTCAACATTTTTTGGCTTTATATAGTTCATTTTTATTTCCGTTTCTTTTACTGTTAACATAGATAACTGCCATTGTAAAAGCTTAGTTTGTGAGAAATACTTATCTTCTCTGCAAATTTCTTCAGTTCATCTTTTTTCTTTATCTCTCCAAAATAGCTTGTATTTTCTCTTGACTTTTCTTTTGGAGCTCACTATTATATTGTATAAAATAACCTCTAATGAAAGCTTTACTTTCATCCCAAACCCTTCTTAAATCAGTACCTTTATCTAAATTATTTTCAAAAAATTCTTCTAATTTCTTTTTACAATCCTCCACTATTGCTTCTTTCTATTACTATTGGTGTAGCAACATTTCATTTGGTCTCCGTCTAAAAGAGTTAGATTTTCTTTTATAAACAAAACTCACCAGATTATGATCTGAAAAAGTCTTTGGTAATATCTCTACTTTAGAAAACTTAGTAGCCAAATTCTTTGAAATCCAAATCCTATTCTTGAAAAGGATCTATGTCTTTCAGAAAAGTAGGTGTACTGTCTTGAATTGTCATTTTTCTGTCTCTGTATATCAACCAACCCTAAATTATCCATTGAATTAAAAAAAAAATGGGTAATTGCCTTGAGTAATTTTAATATTTTTCTCAGAAGTTCTGTCCAGGTGTGGGGAGGCCAACACCTTGTATTAAAATGTGAACATAGGAAGGGCAAACTTTGAAAACACAGAGAGATGCAAAACAATATTGTACAGTGGTACCTCGGGTCACGAATGCTTCTGTTCACAACCAATTCGGGTCACGAACAG